CTGTCACTGTGAACGACATGCAGTACGGACCCTTCGCTAACGGCACGGCGTGTGATGCAGATGACGGTGCTGTATGCATTAAGAACTACGGGGCGACGCTTATTTCTGTGTGGTCGCTTGCCCGTGCGCTGGACCCCGCCGTGCCCGTGCTGTTCCCCGCCGTGACCCCGTCGATGCGGTACACGGAGCCCGGTAGCTGGCTGACGACGGCGCAGCTGATCGGCATCATCGTCGGCGTGGTGCTTCTGGTCACCATCATTGTGGCTGTTGTGGCTGTGGTGGTGCACTTACGCCGCGACTCGCGTAACAACGCGAATGCGCCGAAGGAGCCGACAGACCCCGTGACGCTCGTGTTCACCGACATCGAGAGCAGCACGGCGCTGTGGGCCGCACTTCCCGAGGCGATGTCCGACGCTGTGGCGACGCACCACCGGCTGATCCGCGCGCTTGTCGCGAAGTACCGCTGCTACGAGGTGAAGACGGTTGGCGACTCGTTCATGATAGCGTGCAAGAGTGCGTTTGCCGCCGTGCAGCTTGTGCGTGAGCTGCAGCAGGTGTTTCTGCAGCACGCGTGGGGGACGAGTGTGCTCGACGACGAGTACCTAAAGTTCGAGGAGAGCCGGGCGGAGGAGGGGGCGGAGGGGTACGTGCCGCCGACAGCGCGCCTGGACGCCGCTGTGTACCGGCAGTACTGGAACGGTCTGCGGGTGCGTGTGGGGGTGCACACCGGGCTGTGTGACATCCGGCGCGACGAGGTGACGAAGGGGTACGACTACTACGGCGACACGGCGAACATGGCGGCGCGCACGGAGAGCGTGGGGAACGGCGGGCAGGTGCTGCTGACGCGTGCGGCGTACATGGCTCTGAGCACGGCAGAGCGGGAGGAGGTGGATGTGACTGCGCTGGGCGCGGTGGCGCTGCGCGGGGTGCCGCGGCCCGTGGATATGTACCAGCTGGACGCCGTGCCCGGGCGCACCTTTGCGGCGCTGCGGCTGGACCGAGAGGCGGCGGAGTTTGACGGCAATTGCGATGCTACGTCAGGCAGTGACGAGGCCTCTGCGTCCACCGCAATGAGCGGCGTCTCGCACACCATCATGACTGTGTTGGCTTTGCTGTTTGGCACCTTTTTGGCCCCGCTGCGGCTGAAGATGCTGCGTCCTCTGTGCGAGCGGTGGAGGGTCAGTGTGCCGCGCGAAGTCGGGGCGACGCATGAGGAGGAGGCGTGCCGCGTGGCGATGGAGCTTCTGGCGTCTAAGATGGGTCGAGTGATGGAGAAAAGTGTCCGTAGACTTTCAGCTGGGTGCGATCTGCATACAGAAGGCAAGCGGTTTATGTCTGTCTTTCAGAGTAGCGATTTGCCGCACTTATTCAACACCGCTGTTGAGAAGGAGGGCCGCTCGTGGGGCGTCCGTCGCACAGCGGTTTGTGGCGAGCGTCTTTATCCCAGACGAAGGAGGAGTACTCGGAGATGGAGGACTCGGATGCCATCATCCACGTTTCTAGGCACGTGTAGCCGCGGTGTGCGGTGCGGCGTGCTGCTGCTGCGTGTGTGGGCCGGCCCTCGTGCCTCCCGCCTTTTAAATAAATTAATTTGAGGGCGGACCCATTTTGCGCCGCTCCTTCGCGATGTATTTGTTTGTCTGTTGGGACGCCCGTTGGGGGGTGGGGGGGATGCGCCCAGAGGAGGCCAAAGAGATGAGTAGAGGATTTGTTTGTATATGCTGTTTCCTGCGCGCATTAACTGATCCGTTTCCTGCGAGGCCGCGTTGGGCGGTAGCGGGTCTTACAGGCTGCTGCTTCGCGAGTTCCCATTGAATTTTAGGTGGCCATAGATCGTTTCAATGAGTTTTTCATGTATAATTGGTAGATTCTTTCTGTGGTTTGAATTTGGACGAGGGGATGGTGAGGCAGCTTGTTGTCTTTTATGACTGTGTTGTATTTTATTTTATTTCTGGAGGAGTTGGTGGTGCATCATCTTATGGAGGAATGCGTGTTTGGAAGGGTAAGTTAGTAGAGAT